AGTTCAACTTCTTCTTCTCCTTTGGTATGGCAGGAGGGAAAAGCCAAGAGTTGTTAATGCACACGCAGCATTAACCAGGGCAGCCACTGGCGCTTGAATCGCTGCAACGAGCGGCAAACGCTTGATTGCTCGCTCGTGACACGGCGCCAAAAATTATGGAAAATTAAAAAAAATACCATTCTTAGCAGCTTCTGACTAATTACAGCGAGTGAAAAGACGGGTGTACACACCGGCTGAGAGGCGGTGGTCGAAAGTGCTTTTGTCTAGAAGTTCCAAGTGCAAGCTTGCAATTTGGCGGCTATGAACTTCTGTTTTGTTTATGACCAAGTGGTTTTTTTTTGTATAAAAATTAAGCCGTGTGCCTGATGCAAACTTTCCATGAATGAAAAGCACAAATGAACCCTTCCCGTGGCTTTTGAGAATTTGCGAATTACACCACATTTTTCTAATTAAGCGCTGATAACGATCTCTTCTCGGTTCACTCTCGTGAAAACGAGGCTGCTGCAGTAAAGAGTGACACAGGCTGTATCGGGAAATCACCAAAAGGGTTCAGGGAGCCAGTACGCCAGATTTTGGGGGAAAAACAAGACCATGATTTTCCCTGCCTGCTCCACCCTGATACCCTGATACCATGTGGTCACATCGGCAAGGCAGTCAGCCCCTCGATCGCACAACTTCAGACGATAAGCCGAGTGACCACGGTAAAATGAAAGCTGCCATGACGGGACTTCTCAAGACCGAACTGTTTATATTTCATACTCTTTGACAGACAATAACATTGACACGAATACCACCAGTGCCCGTGATATGACAAACAGCAGTGGCCACTCGGCAATGAAGAGTAAGAGTGCTTTCTCTTCTTGGTTCTTCCGGTAAAGTCACGTGGTAGGGAAATAATAAAAATAAAACATAATAAAATAAAATTCTCACGTTTCGGCCACAACGCAAGCAGCCGTCCTCTGTCGGAAAGACAACGTCAGACGCTGTCTTTCCGATAGCTGTTTCTTCACCTGAGGACGGCTGCTTGCGTTGTGGCCGAAACGTCGTGAAAATTGTATTTTATAGTTTTATTTTTATTATTTTATTATTTCCCTTCTACGTGACTTTACCGATAGAGCCAAGAAGATGAATCCCTGATGTCACAAAAGCTTTAAATCTAAAAGTGCTTTCTCTGTTGCAACAGAGATGAGAGATCAGAATGCCGAGGAGCATAAGCCTTAGTGTAAGTACTAATGATCTCTAGAATATAAGTGAGCATAGAGATGGATATTATTGTTAAGGTTGTATCCCCGAGAAAGCCGTACTGATTCTGAAGACTGTTGTCAAGAAAGTCCTGACAAAGTTTGACAGGAGGGGGCGATGTTGCTGTGCGTAGATCCAATTGAGTGAGCTGCAGGTTATTTTCCAGAATTGAGATGTTTTGGCTAATACGAGTTGCATGTTTTGTTCGTGTAAATATTAATGACAATGACAAAACAGGTGGAAGATGTCTTATCTTTGATAACAGGCGGGAAAGCATCACCACCCCCTGCTAGAGACATTTTGAAGATGCTCTGCCCCATTTGGATGTCTGGTTGAGGTTGCCAGTAAAGCGGCCACTTGATAGATACGAATAAGCGGGACAATATCAGGGTAAGAGGAATATATCTCCATACCGGAAGAGGGAGAACTAAATGTGTATGCATTGTCTTCAGTGCTGTATTAATACGATGACGAAAAACCGGGACTTAATATTCCAAGAAGACTTACACAATTCCTAGGACAGCAAATTCAAAAGCGGACATCCTGGGAAAACTTTGCTGGGACAGGTGGCAAATATAGTTGTGGGAGAGTGCTATAGCCAGTTATTCCATGAGCCCAGAGCAGATATTTCACTTGTCGGTACCACCCGAGTTGTCATAACGTTAATGGTTCGAAGATTTATTAATGTGATGTCCATTTAATAATAGTAGGCTAAAAAATAATTAACATTTATTCGCCATGTAAATAAATTGTTGCTCCTAAAATCTTGCAACCTTATATGGGTACCAATTTCTGCTTTGGCCCATGGTCCTAAGTGTTCTCTGCCATAGCTTTACGACCAGACAGCGGATGCACCAGCACTACCTGCTATAGACACCCTGAATGTGCTCCACCCTTGTTGAAGTCGCGAGAGTGCTTTAGCCGCTTTGTTCTGGCTGTAGGTTGTTACACATCCCCTCTGTAGTCAGAGGGCACTGATCATGCTGGAACAGCCGGCTCCGTTAAAAAAAGTACTTCATTTATTTTTAGTCCATGGCCACTGCATTACAGGCTTTTTGGCGGATGTACTGAGCAAACGCAATATATATATAAAAAAAAATATCCAGAAGCATAATGGAATTAATTGCGTTTGGGCCACGCTGATCTGTAGATCTCGGCAAGGAAACGGTCGGAGCGTGGTCGGGAACGACGGCTCGCGCGGCAAAAGCAGCTGGGGGTCACCGAGGTGGCGACAACGCACCCAGAGCGTCCGCCGCCAACCGCGCACGTTGTTTGCCAGAGCTGCCGCTGGACGGGGCTTACGAGCGAAGTGATAAAAGCAGGAGAGCCATGGAAACAGCACGCACTGCGCCGTCACTCCTCACGAGGGCTGCATCCCTGCTTACACAGCACCCACCCCACCGGCCCCCCGCCCCCCACCACAACGACTAACATGAAGAAGATATTAAATAGGCACGCAACGATTCGGGGCTGTGACAATTCACTGATTAATATGGATTGTCGAGCTTACGAAAGATGCACGATCCCGATACATGCATATTTTCCTTAAATGGTCACGATACGCAGAGGTATCATGCTTGTTAACTCGCGCAGAAAATCGCGTGCAATAATTTTTCAGCAAGTGCTTTCAGTATGTAATTGGGTTCTCGTGACCCATGCATCTGCTGCATTCACAGTATCCACAAAAAAAAGATCAAGAATTGATTCTAGAATAAAAATCTGAAAAATGTATTGTGGCAATTGATTGAATTTCCACGCAAGTGAATTGTTACTCCCACAATTGACAGGTTTCAGATTAGGCGCGTATCGATGCATCAATTTATCAATTAAGAGTCATTCTTACGCACACGATGCTGCAGACGCACAAAAACGTGACGAAAAGAATCAATACTTGAATCCAATAATCACCCTTAACTGTTGAAATTCATCAAATCGCTGGGAGGGGGTGGGGGGGGGGGATGAATCATCGCATGCCTCGTAATGACCATCCAGCAAAGGAGACTGGAAAATTGAGAAATAATACCAACAGGATGGTAAAAACAAGCCCTGCCCCTAGAGATTCATCGAATTTCTAGGGGCAGGGTTGAACCATAACATGCTCAAAACTAATTTTCCACATAGACCAGCACAGAACACACTCCAAGGCAGGCCACATCGCAACACAACTTCTAATTGGCAGCGCCACACTGGACTTTCAATCCAGAGGTCGGTAGTTATATCGCCCTGCACGGCAGTTGAAACAATGCTGCAGGTTTTTTTAATCTCCCCCGCCTCCAGCCACATAGCAGTATAAATATGGCTCACCGCGGCTGTCCAATCGGCAGGTCGAATGCCGTGGGTTCCAAGTGTGGGTGCTACCACCTCTTCGAAGACATCTCGCCGGCGTGTGTTACATCCGGCTCAAAATTACTCTCTAAGAGCTCCCTCGAATTAAAGTCCTTCCACCGGCAACAGCAATAAATTTCAAGGCTGCACCTTTACTGTTTTACTTTATATAAGAAAGAAAGGCACAACACACATGCACTAGGAAATGCTGAGGGGGGGGGGGGGAAGCGTTGAGCTGCCCGTTCCAGAAGGTGTTGCGCCGTGGCCTGACTTGGGTGGTAACCGCTGGCCGAGTAAACAAAAGAGGGAAACGCTGCACATGAACTCACTCACAATGCCGTGTCAGTACATTTTTTTTGCACAACCGCTAACCAAAATATCACGTGACTTACCGAAAACGATTTCAGCTAGCGCTCGGTGACATTTAACGTTCCAACAATGAATCCATCGCCTTTATGATTTACATAAAAAAAATCCAACATCATCATCAGCAGCAGCAGCCATGATCAATCCACTGCTGGTTGAAGGGGTCCCCAAGCTGTCACCATTAACCAGAATCCTGATGTACCAATCCACCTAGGACCTATATACGAGCTGGTTTCACCACTCCATCTCCACAGTGTTTTAGAACCTTGGCTGTCATTATTATTCTTGACCATTACCAATTGTACTGGAAAAAAACAAGCGTCAGTATGAATTTAACAAGCATAGTGGTTCAGCAGTGGTTAGCGGCGAGCACTATAAACCTAGTCACCTGAGTTAAATTGTAAGTCACAGGTAATGTAAGTGGCCCCTGACACCTGAACTGAACTTTGCTTCCAACCACTTTCATCAACTTGTACTGAGCAGCTTAATGAAGTATGATACGAAAAAAGAATACTCCTTATGACCTTCACAGCGTGGGGGAGACCCAAACACAGCAGTCGATTGTCAAAGGAATTTCAATTATTTAAAGCTATTGTTACGATTCCAATAACAATAAGATTGTGTTTTTTTTATTATCACAATGCAGTAAAGTACATAAACAATCATCTGTGTGCTGTGTAATTTAAACTCACTCACCTTATGGTTAACTTCACAAGAACATTGACTCAGCAGTAGATGCTGCATCATTAATCTACTCCGACAACAAGTAACCACTACCTTTTATGCAATGCAGACTTAATTAATGAACTCATACAAACAAATCGATATCGCAGGAAAAAATAAATCAGACGGTCCTTAAGAGCATGTCAGTTTCTAAAGCACTTTGGTTGAAAGGTTGGCCTGTGAATGTTTTTCATCTCATCTCAAATACAGGTTCTGATTCTTGTTTCCAGTGCTTGAAAAACTGCGCTGATTTTTGCCCACTACACTACTCCAAAAAAACGTGCCAACTCATACACTGGTGCCACGCAACATCGGCACTCCGGAACATAATCTACGCAGCTCACCCTCGTGATTCCCTGAAGTGCTCCCTGTTAGGCGCCTCCGCGACGATGCCGATGATGTGATGCCACGACGGGCGACACTGCGCAGCACAGCACCTACAACAGCCAGCCTTGCACTGCGGTCTACTGGAAGAGGACTTAGACTGTCTGGCACCGTTCAGGGTTTTTTGTGATGAGCTAAGCCGATGTTACCGTGACTCAAACTGACTCACGAGAACGGACTTTATTTTTGTTTGGCATAAAGTTCGCGAGCTTCAAGAGAAGAAGGCGAAACAAAGTCGTCAATCCCTCCAGATGCCACCCACTGGATTTCACATCGCAAAAATCAGTAGACGGGGCAAAAAAAAAAACGCATGCTCTTCATACCTCTGTCGTGACTACCGCTGCTGGTGCTGCTAACCAAGCGGGCATGTATGTGGGGGCGGAGCGATTTGATAACATCGTCAGGGGCTCAGCTCAGCGGGACAGAGCCCACGCTCCGATTACGGCGCTAATGCCCAAGCCACTTTCATTTTGCTAAACTTTTGCTGCGACCGAAGAAATGAGCTCGAGTGTTTAGTCTGAAGCCCCGTGGTGTTTATTCTGCTTCAGAGGAACAAAGTTAAAAATACTATTTGCTCAACATCGTTGGTATTTACCACATCTGGAATTTATTTTTCTCTTACTAAAATGTTTCGCTGGTCGAAATATTTTATGTGCACATCTAACAGGGGGCTGCAGACACGCATACCGAATTACATTACCACATATGACAAGCCTATTAATTTCAAACAAAGGTCAAAACTTGAACTCTGGGGAAAAATCTTACAAGAAACAAATTGGCTATGGAATACTTTCTCGTCACACGTTAAAATACTAAGCCTCAAATGGGGTCCCCTCACCACAACTCAGTTTAGTTACTTCACGTCGGTCTCATTTCGGCAATTGTTAAAAGCAAATTTCAATTTCGATTATACCTGCACACACACCGCATTTATTTCCATGACGGATAAAACAAGCGCAGTAAATTAAACCCGCAGACAAGCCTCGCCATGTTTTTTAAAATATTTTGCCAGTTATCTGAACAATGTGAAAAATGTGTGTATCCTTGGAAACGGTCAGAAATCCCGTTGTTTTCAACCGGCCGCCCGACATCCTGCACTGAAATGGGGATTCGTATCACCGGGCACCAATCTGACCAAAACCTCAAAAAGAGCGGTGTTAATTTCATCAACGAAACGAGTGCCAAAAATAGTCGACGGAGCACGTTTTTGTTTTGGCCAGCCGATGACTACGAGTGGGCGAAAGTTATTCAGCACTACCTGTGACTACGACCACCTACCAAAGATAAAGGTGGGCGACTATGAAGAATCTAACTTAACGTGAGTCAATGAAGGTGCAGGTTGAGATAATTTATATTGCAGTTCACCGAGGAAGACCAAATATAGTAAATAGATATATATGACTTAAAGCTTTCGTGACTGCAGGAAAACATATTCTATGGGTCTTTCGGTAAAGCCATGTGGCTTTACCGTAAGGCCCATAGAATAGATATATATGCATGTGAATGCACTCTTTGGCTGACCTAACAATATCGGTATCGGGGACGGGGGGAGGGAGAAAATTTCCGCAGCCCTCGCCACCAAAATTTTGACTGCTTTCATCGACTAGGCTAAGGGAATGACTAAATGAAAATCCGCAGGCGAGAAAAAAAACACTTGAGTAAAATTCCACAGGATGTCGTTGGAATATATTAAGACTACGACTAAAATAATATAAATGCTGACTAAATTAACACTGCCTCGGCGGCGCGGGGGTCCAAGGTACACGTCGTTTTGTTTCGTTTAAGAACCAAAACCCAGGCTACACCCCACACCCGTTCCCATTCAAATTTAAAACTTACATTACAAAGGCACACTTAACGCCGCCAGACCATGCACTTACAAGGAAGCACTTATCCTACCCCTAACACAAATAAAAAGCCCTCCGCATAGCCAAGTACAGAGCCTCGCTGCACTTTTCTTTAACTTACCCAGGTAACCATGGAGCATGGCAAAGCCCATTAGCCTGAGTATGTGCGTCAGGCTGCTGCGTAGGTTATCGTGGTTGTACTGCATAGCTCTCCAATGTGCTTTCGGGTTGTACCGTGCTTATGTTGTTCTGCATTATGTCTGAAATTCGCTCTGTGCTGGGAGTTTCTTCAGGAACTGAATTCAGTTCTGCGTGCTGGGCAGCTTCTTTCGGCAGTCAAGCATGGCGCTAAACATGGAACAACGCACGGCATAACCAAGAAAACACAATGGAGAGGTCGTCTCAAACTTGCTCAAGGAGGCAACACAACACCTGCCGACTAATATTGTAACCATACTCGCTTGCCAAGAAGACTCAAGCACCGGGGGCAACTATGGCGAGCGGCTTGCTAGTTGCATATAGCAGATAATTACCAAGGCCCTTATTGTTTGAAAAGCTCAAACATACCCCCTTACCAATGCTTTCGTGGCAGAAAGTACCAAAATATAAAGCATTTTTCCTGCTTGCCGCAGTTATGCACATGTTCTGAGATTGCACCACAGGTTTCCGGTACACTTAAAATACTTTAAATAACCAAATGGACCAAAACAAACGTAAAACAGTTGCCGTCGAGTGTAAGTTTAAGTTTATGCAGGACAAAACAACCCATGAAATGTTTAATTGACCGTAACGATTCAAAAGCGGTGAATCAGTCAGAAGTGAACCCACAATCAGTTAAAGTTTTGGCGGATCGATGGTTAACGTTGATGGGATTAGAGACGTGTGGCCAGATAACTGGGAGATGTTTTGGGAGGTCAGCTTTAATTATATTTTTTGTTCACAGAACCATCCATTAAATTGTAAATCACATACGTTAGTGACGACTTGTATTTTGTAAACAAGCAGGGAGCTCACAGTCGTCTTGTAATCCTGTTTAACAGACATCATTACTACTGCGCACACTGCTTTGTAGCTCGTAACTCTAAAGTAATTATTCTTTCAGCTCCGTTGACATTACTTTCAATCATGTTCCATCGATGCGGCGGGCATATTTCACACGCAAGGTCCCTTGCACTCAAAATCACGTGCGTTTGCCTTTTTAAAATTCCAGCAGAGCAGCAACGAACCTTTCCGACTGCATTAAAACAGACAGATTTCTGATTACGTCCCAGGGACAACTTTGTGGTCTCCATCGAGCGGTGCAGCTGGCACCGCTTGCTAGCCGTGAATACGAAGCGCAACCTCGTGTCTTTACGCCCCATCTCAGCTCGCACGGCCGACGGCGGCAAACAACAGACCGAGCGATAGTTAAGACTGTCCGCATTCCCGACAGCCACAGGCATGCAGTGACCCACTTATTCGAGAAGCCTGCTGAGGGGGCGTGTGGGGGGGGCAGGCTGTGTGCCTGACCCGTGGCCCGCGCCCGTCACCACGGACCCCGTCTCCTGCTCCCATAATTGCCGCCTGCGCCGCCGCCCTGCACATGTTCGGCAGCCGCGCCAGGTTGTCCTGAGCTGCACTTGGGCTTTTCCACATGACCACACACTGGCGCGTAGCCGTGGCTGTAGTGGAGAAAGAAAGAGTCTTGCGGCGCTCCGCCAGGCGTTAACAAACTAATTTTGTACCTGGCGCAAACCAATTTGGCGGGGTTAAGGTGAACAATTGATTGTTTAGGCTCGGTGTGCGAGTATAGTTCAGGATTGGTGTAAGTGAACAAGGGTTCGAGCATAACCCCGGTGGCGTGCGGGGATGGAAATATATTTTAATGGAGCACGTTGTTTACTACAGCGGAGGAGAAACTGCAGTCCTTCAACTGCAGTGGCACAAATTACAATGTCGTTGTTGGCTATCGTGTCGTTTGGGATAGAGTTGCAACTACATTGCAATAATCAATGAAACCCCGTGTTTTTATGGTCTGTGCTAATCCAACAATCTTTCACTATGTGCCAGTACTCAAACAGAACACACCTTTCCTAAGAGATAGGTAGGTGGTGGGGAAGGGGGAGAACGGAACTTCTGAATGAGGAAAATATGAATAAAAGTTGCTCACTAAAACTTTAAGAGTCTTTCGCTGATATTAAAATAAATATAGTAAGGGGAACGGTAGAAATGTGATTTATTTTATTTTAAACCTACGTGACTTTACCGAAAGAACCAAAGAGCATAGTAGAATTGTGGTTAAAACACTTGTGTATAAACCTGGCGACCCGAGTTCTATTCCTGATCAAGTCTAACATCAGTGGTCAATAGTATTCGAAATGGTTATAGGCTCCCCCATATAACCAACCTGCACTGACCAGTGTGGTTAAATATGATCATTCAACGCCGTAAGCAATGCGGCATAAAGGAGTGGATTATCAGGGGGCTTCATAATATCACGTTATTATAAACACAGTAAAGAGGTGAACACTTTATTATAACACAGAATTCTGCAGTGTCAAGAGTTTACAGTAAATTTTACACAACATTTTATAAAAAGAGGAAACATTTGGTATAGATTACCGTGTACATACTTAGACATGCAGTATATGCAGTCTACACTTATAAATATACACATGCGTGTGTATTTTTACGACTGCACTCCATAAGGATTTCACTGTCCCCGTGATCAAAATAGCGAGGGTTATTACTCATCCCTGTTGTCAGACCTGGGTGACAAACATTCCATGTTCCTATGACAGATTCCACTCTCCTCAAGTAACACTCCGTACTTAAGAAAAATCAAGCCAGTCTCACAAATTATCGCAAAATAAAACTCCCCAACAATTTACAATGTTTATTTACATCGGCGGTCCAGAATCACTGCTTGAAATTCCACGTTAACATTCCGAAGGCCAGTGTGACCACGTGAAAACCACAGTTGACTTCTGACCAAGTGGAGAAGACGCATAAACATGTGGATTTGTACATGTACAGCCCTTTGGTCAATCCACTGCTTGATGAAGGCTTCACCACGCCACACGGGGCATCGGGGTTAACCGACAATGTCATCACGGGGGTCAGTGCGAGTTGAGAAAGGGGGAAAGCCCAAGACTGGATTAGCTACCACTCAGCACTGATGTTAGCCGTGGCTGGGAATACAACTCTCATTGTGTCAAGAGCTGCACTCTGGTACTAATTGTATGGACCAAGGAAGGATAAGGCTGACAACGATCCTGTTCTGGATTTAAATTCGCAATGTCATCACCACTCAGTGGATAGGGAAATCCCCTGCCATTCCAACTAAATTCACCACGTGCAAACACAACACACCTCCTATATCTACTCTTTCGAGAGAAACCTGAAAATATAAATTCACTAAACATACATGTAGAGGAAAACAGAAACAACGATTATGGAAGATACAATACAAAGGGGAAAACAAGCCTTAATCTAGTAGATTACGTGCGTGCCGGGGCTGTGTGTTCCGGGCAATATGACACGAGTTGGTGATTGAAAAAAAAAACCGTTCAAGTGACTCTCAGACACTCTCTAGTGACATCACGGCGGTCGGACTTCCTGAAATTTAACGTCAATGTCGTGACATCAAGCGCACGCCATAAACTTCCTCCAAAGTACATTTTGTTCGACTTAGAGAAGCTTCAAACTCGTGTAGGACTGCTCCGGAGAGCACATGCCGGCCTTGTTGCTACTGGAGAAGAGCTGTTTGGCTTATTGATAGGGAGGATGATCGGGGAGAGGTCGCACATTCCTGCGCCATGGAGCAGTGCCATACCGGTTAACCATAATAACAGCCTTAACAAACAGAGCAATAACAAGCTTAACAATAACCACAATATTCTTGGTTCTTTCGGTAAAGTCACGTTGAAGGGAAACAAAAGAATAAAAAATAGATTTTATTGTTTCCCTTCAACGTGACTTTACCGAAAGAACCAAGAATATGAATCACTGCAGTCACGAAAGCTTCAAATAAAAAAATAACCACAATGTTCACAATAACCACAATAATACCTACAATGATAGAAATAACAACAATAACCGTAACAACCAAAACAATTATAACAATGACAAGCACAACCATAACAACAACAATAAACATTCACAAGGGCAGCCAGCGGCTTAGAGCTATAACAATCTCAACCACAAAAATAACAACACAACAACCAAAACAATTGCAACCACTATAGGCACGACAACACCAGCCATAACGATACGCCGACCACAACAGCAACCACAATAACACCCACCACCACAATAACAACAACACGATTCACAATCACAACAACCACATAAGGGGGCAGCCAATGGCTCTGAGCCACAATCTCTGGTAACTCCCTCAAGTCAACCTCGTAGACTCAGCCCCTCCGACTCCCTCAGTCAACCAACCCATTTAGTCACTCTAAAGTCGCTTCTCTCGAGTCACCCCTCAAGTCACCTCCTCCGCATCACCTCAAATTAGTTACTGCCTCACCCCCTTCAAGTCCTTAATCTCGTTACCTGCCGAGTCACCTTCTCCAATCGTCTCAAGTCACCCCCACCAAGTCACTCATCTTCGTCACCCCACCAGGTCACCCTCTGCCTCTATCCGGGGTCGACTGCATCTCCGCGGGCGAGCGCGTCCAAGCGAGCCCGAGGCTCCAAGGCCCGAGGCCGCGATACCCCACGACACCCCGAACCGCCTCAGCAGCAGCAGCAGCTGCTGCGGCTGCTGCTACTGCAGCAATCCCGACTGGGGGTGACGGGGCTGGTGAGGGGGGAGGCTTATCCCCTTCAACTCTCACGGGCTCGTGAGAGCCGTGCAAGGAACGGCAGAACGTGAGAAAGGTAACGCCGCGTGAGAGGCTGAACCCAGGGGCGGATGGTTCCAATCCCTCAGCAGCAACCAGTTTCCTCCTTCTGCCTCGCAGCCGCGGGCCATCGCCACCATCACTGTCATCGTCGCCATCGCCTCCGCTGCCATCGCGCGGCTTACCCAAGTGAGCGCGCGCGGTCGGAGGCGAGGAGGCGAGCGAGAGGAGCGCGGGAGCTGAGGAGCCGAGGTCCGGGGTCGCCTCCTCCTCCGCCTCCCCCCTACTCACAAACCTCGCGCAGGAAACCGTAAACACGGCCTGACGTCACCGCACACGCCTGTCAATCACCACTGAGCCACGCCCACACCGTCGGTTTTGTGTGGGGAGGGGCGGGGGAAGTAACGCCCCTAAAAACGACGTCATCACGCGACACCTGTCAATCTCCAGCCGCGAAGCCTCGCCCACGTCGCAACTTCTGCAGCGTGTGCAGGGGTTTCGAACAAGGGCCAGCTTCCGAAACGTCGTCTGTTATATGTATTCATTTTAAGGGCCATACGGTGTTGTTGACGAACTTGTTGAGTTTTTTGTTCTTTTGTACCTTTGCATCACTGCCAATTTAGACGAAAAGAGCTTTTTTAGCTCATCGGATTCCTCCAGGATAACTAAAGTCTGATTCTGAATTCGTTTCACTGGAAAACATATATAACAGGCGACGTTTCGGGGAATGCTCCTCAATAGCACGTGAATATAGACACCCGATTGATATAGCGGATAATAGGAGTTGCAGACTGAGCCTGACATCGTGGGGCCTTATAAGAATTAACTTTTAAAATCAGAATTTGTTTTTATTCTGGAGGAATCCGATGAGCTATGAAGCTCTTTTTCGCAGACGTCCAGTAGGGGCGGTTCAGTAAGTTACGACAACAACAATACCGCAAAACGACGAAGTGCAAAGTACTGCAGAGGGAAAGGTAGGCAAGTTACTAAAAACAGGATATTAGTACAATTTACACAAGTACATACATTCCTGTCGCTTCTGAACACTGAAATGCAGCTAGGGCAAGGCAGCAAAACAACAACAATAACAACAGTCGCAGACCACACCAAGACAACACACGGTCCCTCAATAAAATTGACCATTAATAATGAATAATAATATGTATAACGCGCCAGATTTTGCAAAATTTAACGATCGACACACGGGTAAGGATCAAAGACTCTCGATTAACAATTTTAAATTAGCATACGAATGGTTTACACCGTGGGTTTCTAATGAGTAACAGAGAAAGCGCTCGGTAAATTAAAAAAGCACATTAAAGCGACATTTCGCCCGTTGTGACGTCATCACGCAGATCTAAAGTGTGACGTCAAAACGCCGCAAACGTGACGTCTAAAACGCGTCAGCTGTCTATCATCGCGACAAAGCCACGCCCGCGACGTCGAGCTCGTCTGGCGATTGGCCCCCAGGATTGCGTCACTAATTTCCGGTTTAAAACGCTCTCAAGATAGCAAAGTTATCCGGAATGCGACGTTGCAAGCAATAATTTGTAAAATATTAATACAAATGCGTTTGTATTCTTGGTTCTTTCGGTAAAGTCACGTAGATAGAAAACAAAAAATACAAAAATAAAATGTAATTGTATTATTATTTTATACAAAGTAAAAGCAATAAAATAAAAAAATAACTTTCGATTAGATTTTTTTTCTCTATCTACGTGACTTTAACGAAAGAACCAAGAATATGAATTCCTGCAGTCACGAAAGTTTTAAGTCAACAAATGCGTTTATTTCGTAATCATTTTTTGTTTGTTATTGAAGGGTTTGTTGCTCACATTCATAAAAATACGCATTGAGATTAGATTATTTTGTTGCTATAAATGTCCAAATGATGGGTCACTTTGTTGAGCTATTTGTGGCCAGGTCGCTTCTAGTGGGCTTTACCTGGTAGGATGGAAATTGTTTTGGTTTACAGTATTTACGTATATGCGTTTGGGTGATTCGTGTATCTTTCTTGGACTTTGCGCTAGTATCGTATTTATGTACTGTTCTTCGAACGTTCTTACTAGGGCTGAACGATTAATCGATTTAAAATCGAAATTTTTTGCAATGCGATCAGCAAATCGCAAAGGCTGCGATTTTTTGCCATTTGAAAAGTCCTCTTTCTTATTGGAGTTTTATATTTTTTATTATTATAACTTTATTTAACTTAACAATTGTTCTATGTTTGATTGCTCTATTTCAATTGAAACATTTTAATAAATACATGTTGGAAGCAATTAATCTCTTTATAAGTTCTCATCCTTGAATTAGAATATATAGAGCAGTTAATATTTTGATGGTATCACGTGGTAATGCTCCATCACATGTTTTAAATCTATTACACAGTGAACATTGAACTGAAGTTTGACTTAAAACATTTTTTTATATCGCAAATGAAATCGTAATGTCAGAAAAATCTCAATTAGATATTTTCTCCAAATAGTTCAGCCCTACTTCTTACCCCGTGCCCCTACTAGACGTCTGTGAAGAAGACATAGCTTATCGGATTCCTCCAGTATAAATACATATTCTAATTCTGAATGTACCTATTTATATACCAATTTAAAAACCATTAATCAGGACACATTTAACATGTCTTACCTGGTCCCATGTTGTGCAGTGCATTCTCCAGCTCTTATCCACTCTGTCTCTTAGGTCACTCTGTTCATGTGATATGTAGAAGGCAATTGCCCGAAATGTTGCCTATTAAAAAAAAATACTTCAAGGCAACACCGTGTTTTTTGTATGTATGTAGAACTTTTTTCGCACCGTACGTAACCAACCGCATTAATCGGAGGTGCGGGGGAAGTAGAGCAAACTAAACATCAAAGTAAGTTGTAAATAAATGAGTTTTCAATCGAGAACGTGTTGTTTTTGTTTGTTGGGCAATGAACGAGACTCAGCCCCTAATGTGACGTCAAAACTCTCCTGTCAATCATCGACAGATTTTCGCCAATGTCGTGACGTCATCCCGGATGGTGACAGCTTAATGGATTATGACGTCACGCACAGGACGATCAGGACAAGTTTTTTGCGTGAACGTGGCGTAGTTATTTATCTTAATCACGAAGGAGTTTCGAGTAATTGGGCAAAACTTGAATTGATACCGGAACGAAAAGCGAAGAACCCAAGTGCCGAAAGAAAGTGTTTGGTGAGTGAATATTAACCGCTATGCCATGTGCATCAGAATCATTGACATTGTCCAAATAAAATGGAAGAAAAAACGAAAAGTGCGCAAATAAACGTTGAGAGGTGCGTGCTGGGAATTACACTGAGCCAGGAAGAGGAACACGCGGATTGGCGAACGCGCGCTAATTCGCGACAGCACTTTGAGTGTGAAGAAAACTTCGCCGGCTTGGGCGGGACGCGTCGCGGTGATGATGGGCGGTGGTCGAGACTAACGACGGAGTGGTCAGAATCACAATGTTTATTTATACTGCAGGAGGAATCCGATGAGCTGTAAAGCTCTTCTTCACAGATGTCCAGTGGTGGCACGGGTGTCAGAAAGTTACAAAGCTTGGAACACGCTCGGTAGGTGCGTTCACCGTGGCGGAGACGGGAGTCATGAAATCATCTGGTGTGCAAGAGCCATCTGGATTGCTACGTCGCAAAGACTGTGAGAGATAGCAGATGGCTTCAAGTGGCCTTCATCCAGCCATGAATTGACAAATTGCCATGGTGTAGAGGATTGGTAACGCAGTGGTTCGCGTGTACTGCGCTATCAATCCGACTACCTGAGTTCGTTTCACGGCCACGGCTAACATCAGTGGCGAGTGATATTCGTTTCACGGCCACGGCTAGCATCAGTGGCGAGTGATATTCGTTTCACGGCCACGGCTAACATCAGTGGCGAGTGATATCTGAACCGGTCCTGGCTCACCTCCCACACTTCACTGACTCGTCAGAGTGATGAAGTAATATGTACCGTCAAACTAATCACCACGGCCGACAAACAACAATCGTGGGGGGGGGGGGGGGGGAGAGGAAACAACCAGCAGCGGATTGACAAAGTGG